AGTTTGTTTGTATTTAGATAGAAGTTAAATTTCGCCCCCGCATAGAACTTCTTCTAAGAGATAATAAGCCTAATAAAAAAAAATATTTATTTATTTATTTATTTATTTATTTATTTATTTATTTATTTATATTTGTTTTTATTTATTTATGTTTATTTATTTATAGATATATTTATATATACGCTTGGCTTTGTCTTTGGTTTTTTGGGGTTAAAATTAAATTAATATATTTAAATAAATATTATAAAATAAATATAATAAATATAAAAAAAAAATATAAAAAAATAAATATAATGAAATAAAAAATAAAAAATAAAAAATAAAAAATAAATATAATAAAATAAATATAATAAATTAAATCGAGAAAATATTAAAAAATAATTAAAACAAAACTAACACCACTACAAACATAAAAATAAAAACAAAATAAAAACAAAAACAAAAACAATAAAATAAAATAAAATAAAACAAAAACAATAAAAATAATATAATAATTATAATATAATTCTCACCTTAAGAACGAGCAACTACAGAAACATTAAAAAAACAATTAAAACACCAAAAACCAAAAAAAAACAAAAAACAAAAAAAACAAAAAAAAACAACAGAATAAATATAAAACAAAAGTAAATAAACAAACAAAAAAAATATAATATATTTGAGAAAAAATTAAAAAAACAATAAAAACAAAACTACCAGCACTACAAAGATAAAACAAAAACCAAAAAAACAAAAAAAACAAAAAACAAAAAAAAACAAAAACAACAAAAACAAAATAAAATAAATATAATATATTTCTCACCTTATGGAAGTTAAATATTAAATCGAGAAAAAATTAAAAAAACAATAAAAACAAAACTAGCAGCACTACAAAGACAAAACAAAAACCAAAAAAAACAGAAAAAACAACAGAATAAAGACAAAACAAAAACAATAAAAATAAAAATAAAATAAAATAAATATAATATATTTCTCACCTTATGGAAGTTAAATATTAAATCGAGCTCACATACATTACCAAAATATTTATCTAATATCTCTACATAATGATGAATTCCTTCTAAGACAAGCAGAGCGTTCTCCATTGCATCCACGCATGCAATAAAAAATAAACTTGCATACCTAAATAAAAAAAAATAAAAATAAATAAATAAATAAATAAATAAATAAATACAAATAAATTATTTATTTGTATTTATTTATTTGTTTATTTTGTTTTTTTGTCTTGGTTTGGTTTAGTTTGGAGGCGGGGGTGTTTCCCTACGCATGCAGTAAAAAATAAAAAATAAATAAATAAATAAATATGTAAATAAATAAATAAATAAATAGATTTGTTTGTTTGTATTTTAATATGTTTTGTTGTTTTGGTTTAGTTTAGTTTGGAGGCAGGGGTGT